CTCTCATTCACAATGTAATACTATTAATATGATGAATATTGGTTGAGTTTGAGCTGTTAATAGTGATTGTGGTTTATGATGGGAAGGACTCCCTTCTGCCAGCCTGTTTGTTTTTTAAAAGGAGTGCACTACGGTTCACCCTATCAACAGGCTTTTTCATTTTCTGTTTCCCAGAACACGATTTGAAAGTTCAGGCTTGGTGGATCTGAACTACTCTTAGTCTCTGACGGCTCACCCATAGAGAGTTTAGCGACTATATTGTACACAAGAATAGCAAAAACTTTCTTAAAACAGTAAGCTGAAATTTGATTAGCAGACTTTTTGTAATTTCCGGAAGTCAGAGTATACAAGTTTTTATCCATCCACCGGTAAACAAATTATGTTTGTAAGTTGTTGGTCTGCTACGGCTCGTGGGCGATTCTTGGCCAGAATATGCAGGAACGTGGACCAGACTTAATGCTGATAGTTAAAAGTTTTGCTGCAAGACCCTTTTGATCTTAATAAAAGAGTGATAATTCTGAAAATAATATACTTTAAAAGAATATACTTAAGTGTGAACTGAATGTTTCAGGCACTTAAATGCATTTTAATTGCAGTTAAATGAAAATCTATTATAATTTAAAATTCTATTTTATGAAGTTAGCTGAACTTTAAAGTGCCATTTTTTGAGCCACTTATATACATACTTATTTAAATTACAATTACTTCTCTTGTCTTTTAAATATAGTTGTATACAGTGTACTGCCAAATGTACTGACAAGCACTTATGGTAAAGTAAAATATACTTTCATTTCTATTGAAACTTGTATGTCATGTATTTAAATACATTTTAATTACACATTTGTAATGATGAAGTTGCAACTTATAACAGTTAAAATATATTAAAGTGGCCCTATTATGCCATTTGTAAGGTACCTAATATTGTTTTGGGAATTTCTTACAATAGGTTTACATGCATGGAATGTCAAAAAATGCTTTCGCTTTCTCAAAATATGCATTTAATACACTGATCTATAACGACTGGATTGCTCATTGTGTTCTATACTTTTTTATAGTCTACTTAAGTGTGTTAAGAACTCTAGTGAACTCTCTTTGAGTAATAGTATGCTATCTGCAAGTACAGTTTTTAAAAAATAAAAAATATACTTTTGAAGTACACTCAATTCAAAACAATGAAGCACACTTCTTTTTCAGAAGGGGAGAGGAGCACTAAACACATTACTCTGATTTTGTGCCTGGTTTAGCTTAAGCTAATGCTATAGTCAGTTGTCAGCTGTTTATTGTCCTCTAGGTCTTGTGCTAGTAGTGACCACCACAAAATACCTTATTTTTGTCATTTAGTTATAAGCTGCACTTTCCAAATTAGCTACCGCTCCTGGACAACTCTGTTACAAAACTGTCTAATCATCTAAAAATGAAATGCCTCTAATCTCATGCAAGTGGTTAATCAAACAATGCTAAATAGTCCAGTTGGGAGGTAATGAGATGGAAATCCCTCTAGCATCTCATTCCAAGGAGTGAATGCTACAATAGAAGGAGGTTGACTTCATTAATAGAGACAGAGTGACTTATCAGTGGAGGATTTATTAAGATCTCAACTAATCATTTATCCTGTGCTACAGATAAGACAGTTTTGCATGAAATTTAAACTAAATGTGCTTCCAAAACATCTTCTCAAAAACTTTTTAAAGGGGTCATATGATGCTTTTTTAAAGATCATTATTTTGTGTATTTGGTGTAACAGAATATGTTGACATGCTTTAATGTTCAAAAAACAGATTATTTTTCAAATACATACATACTTACATACAGTACATATACATACATACACATAAATAAATTACCCTGGGTCAGCATAATCATGGATTATCTTGTTCCGTTGTCATTGACAGAATGAAATCAGAATTGACCCTATTTAACTTTTTAAACATATGTTCCATTATTTTGCAATTAATGCAAAATAATGTTCTTCATTAATTTTTCACTAAAATGCTACCCCTGTTCACTGTTCACATGGCAATAAATAATGTTAACCAACAGCTAAATAGCTCATTATGGTGCAGTTAATTTAAAGTCAAGTATAACTTCAATTGGTCACCAAAGATATTTGCAGGTATGCAGACCTGGTGTCCTGCTGTATCTGTATGTTTGTGTTAGGGTTATGTGTGTTGTGTTTTGAATGACTCCATGACAGACACTTAGGAGTTGAAGTGGCCACTCCATTTCCTGTCATTACCCTGCAAGCCGAGGACCCTCATTAATATAGATCCTTCTGTCATGTCTTTTTATTAACTTTCAATGATTAAATGAACTGAAGCATTATGAGTCCCAATCACAGGCTAAAGATCAGAGGCTTGATCCTTATAGCAAAATTTTGACATCATTAAAAAAATCCATATGAATCAAGCCCACCACCCCTTCCCTTTTCCATTAATTTTATGGACACTTCCTTTAACTCTAAAACAAAACACAATACAATGCATAATTCAAAATATGGATGCAACACCTATTCCAAAAGTAAATATGGAAAATTCCTTCATATTAACACAGTACATTATTGTTACAGACATTTCTTAGACAATAGATTCAAAGTATAGGCTAACTGAGTATAGTTACTCAAGTACTTTAAGTCTAAGTGCTAAGGATCCAGAGAAAGTCTAAACAGGGTCCTCTATGCACAGAGGTACTTTGCTAATTGCCAGCTGATGTTGGCAGGTATATGAATTCTTCAAAATGTGGTTATATAACCAACTGAAGTCAATATTTTTGGGACTTGCATGGGTATTATGTGGAGCAGATTGGAGCCGTAAGCCGGTTCCTACACTCGCCTGATGTCTATTCACATGTAGAGTCAGTGGGAGTTTACGGTCAGCATAGAGAGAGAGAGGGAGGGGATCTATAGCTGCGTGGATCTGGCACTGGTCTCCTAATGAGTACCCAGATGCTAGTTCTTGGACACTGAGGTGTCAGAGCGAGGGTTTACATTTTTATTTTGAAATCGCAGTTAGAGAGTAATGGCTTATTAAAGAGCTTGTGTTTTGGTACAGTGCATGTTGTAATGTATATTCTACAGAGGATCAGATCAGTGGTTTAGTGTCTAGGGTCTGTAGGGAAGGAAAATGGAAGTAATTAAGGAGGTACGGTTGCCCGGGTGTACCAGCCGATGGTGACACTGCTCTAAGGTAGGGTTAAGTAGGACAGGCCCAGAGAGGGTTCCAGTCCCCGAGTTTAGCCCGGAGAGGGCTCCAGTCCCCGAGTTTAGCCCGGAGATGGCTCCAGTCCCCGCGTTTAGCCCGGAGAGGGCTCCAGTCCCCGCGTTTAGCCCAGAGATAGCCCAGAGAGGGCTCCAGTTCCCGAGTCTAGCCCAGAGAGGGCTCCAGTTCCCACTTTCAGCCCTAAGGGGGCTCCAGTCCCCACATCCAGCCCAAGGAGGGCTCCGGTCCCCACGTCCAGCCCAAGGAGGGCTCCGGTTCCCACATTCAGCCCAGGGAGGGCTCCAGTTCCCACGTCCAGCCCAGGGAGGGCTCCAGTTCCCAAGTCAAGGCCAGGGAGGGCCACAGTTCCCGAGTCAGGCCCACGGAGGGCCTCAGGGGTTGATATTTGCCCCAAGGATTTTTTTGGAGGAGGGGTTATAGGGATCCATCCGTAGAGGTCGGGCTGAGTGCCGAGGTCAGGCCTACTGCACTGCTTGCTCCGCCATGGGCCCCTGAGTTCCCTACTCCACCATGGCCCCCTGAGTTCCCTGCTCCGCCATGGCCTCCTGAACTGCCTGATCCGCCATGGGTCCTGGAATGGGTACTGCTCTGGAGGCCTGCCGTGAATCCCTTCTCGTTGGATATTGTGTGGCACGTGGATGCGCCTTCCGGGAGGGGGGAGTAATGTCAGTCCTGTGTTCCGTGTCTTGTGTTTTCCTCCCCCACGTGCTTTCGCCTGCTCCGCCATGGCGCCCTGAACTGCCTGATCCGCCAGGGGTCCCGGAACGGGTACCGCTCTGGAGGCCTGCCGTCCAGTGTAAGCCAGTCCTGTGGGGCCTCCAGAGTGCCCACCCCCCCTCCCCATTGGATGTTGTGTGGCGCGTGGATGCGCCTTCGGGGAGAGGGGAGTAATGCCAGTCCTGTGTCTTGTGTTTTCCTCCCCCACGTGCTCCATGTCCTAGTTTCTCCCATGTCTCATTGTGTTCCTTGACTTAACTGATGACAGAACTACAACATTGTATGCTCATAGTTTCTTGTGCGCTTTATTTATTATGAAGTGATATAGAGCGCGTGCTGCATATTCGCGTACAGTTGAAGAGTGTGTGCTGTGAGCACAGTAAAACGGCTGACAGGACAGGAAAGTTTGTTTTTCTAAGTTTTACTGACATATAGCCTAACAACATCTCATCAGACCTTAGTTCACTGGTGTTCTACTAAAGCTCATTTAACACCTGTACCTTTTCCGCACTCTTTTGACTTGCGCCTGGCAGTGAGGCAAAGTATGAATAGTCTGAAAAGTCTCCTGTTTGTTAGGGTCATAAAGAGATACAGCGGTTCCGCATCTTAATAAATGCATTTCTTGTCAAGAAAAAAGAGACAAAAACTGCAGTTGTGAGTGGGGTGGCCAAGCTTAGGTCAACTCTTTACAAATTGATAATAATAAGAAATGTTTCTTGATCACCAAATCAGCTTATTAGAATGATTTCTGAAGGATCGTGTGACTCTGAAGACTAGAGTAATGGCTGCTGAAAATTCAGCTTTGCCATCACAGAAATTAATTGCATATTAAAATATATTAAAATAGAAAATACTTTTTTAAAATTGTAATAATATTTCTGTTTTTACTGTATTGCAATCAAATAAATAAATGTAGCCTTAGTAAGCATGAGAGAATTCTTTCAAAAATATCTTACCAATCCCAATCTTTTGAACTGTAGTGTATTGGGGATAAATGAGCCCCATTAATTTATGGAATACAACTGAATTATTTGTAACTGAGTCATTTGCTCTTTCTCTCTTTTGCAGGGGAGCCACATCAGTGGTGTTCCGATGCCGTCAGAAAGGCACCCAGAAGCACTATGCTGCGAAAATGCTGAAAAAAACAGTAAGTGCACTGACACATTTCTCTCCACATGTTACAAGGCTTTGTTCTCTTGCCTTTGTTCTGCCTCGTATAGCCAAGGAGTTTCTGGTCAGGACTTCCTTCCAGCTGCTAAGATCTTAAAGACCTCACTGTTGTTGCCTTCCATTTCTCTACATCACTCTGATGCATGATGGGTAATAATTGCTGTCAGCCAGAGCTGTTTTCAGAGCAGTACATACATTTCTATTTACACCATCATTTGTGCTTTTTGTGCGTGTGTAGGGAATACTAAGGCTATCTTAAACCCCTCTAATGCATTTGTAATTCTATTATGTTACTTGTGTGCTATAATATATAGCGCATTACATTGTTAGGCGCTGCATATAAATGTTGTGTACATTGTGCAAAGTTACTGCAAAAACTACTAAAGGTGGCTGATAAAGAAAAAATAGAATGAGAATAACAATAACAACATGAACAAAGTTTTATAAAAAAAATGTTATGAACAGCAAGCAACTATATATATATATATATATATATATATATATACAGTATATAGCTTTTACAAATTTCTTTAGCTCTGTGGTAGTACCTCAGGTGTTTTTAACTAATAATATATAAAATGGTACCCCTGTGAAAAAGAAGTTATTATTATTATTATTATTATTATTTTACACAAAACTTTAATTTAACTTTTTAATTTCCTCACCCTCAAATCATTCCAAATATATATGAAAGTCGTTTTGCAGAATGCCCATTAAATGTTCTTGAGGAAAAGTGCTTGGTTTACTTTATTTATTTTTTTAGGTTTTTCCTTCTGCAGTGAGTTGATGTTGCTATTACACTTTACTTGATTGTAATGGCTTTATAATTGTGCACCTTGTTCACTTTGTACTCAGACAATAACTTTGCTGTTCTTGCAGGTTGACAAGAAGATTGTACGAACAGAGATAGGTGTATTACTGCGCCTCTCTCATCCAAATATAGTAAGTCTAAAGGGGCAGTTTCATTGTTTCACAGCCTAAAATATGCATAAATCTACAAGAACACTCGCTTAGATGTTCATCCTGTCTCTGCAGTACTGTCTGTGTTTGATTTAGCAAGCTCTAGTTATGCAAATGTTAGTCAGACATTATAGCTACCGTAGTCTACATCAATAATAAATCATGTATTGTTTTTGAATTCCTCCAGTGAAATGCCCTCTCTTTTTTTCATGCCGTTTTCTGTCAGATCAAACTGAAGGAGATCTTTGAGACCCCTGCGGAGATTAGTCTCGTGTTAGAACTTGTTACCGGTGGAGAATTATTTGACAGGTCAGTTCACCATGGGGGTAAAGTGCTACATGCAAATAATGACTGATTAAGTTGTGAACTCCATGCTGTGCATTGACACTTTCCCCCAGAACTGTAATTAAGGGTGTTTGCTAAGGCAACAATCACTATTACTATTGCTCATACTTACAGTTAGAGTTTTTCATGAGCCCTAACTTGTTTGTGCTACAGATATGACACCTTAATGAGGAAAGCAAGTAGACTTTTCGACATTTAATGGATGATAAAATGGGTGATGGAGAATCTCATGAAAACATTTTCATGCCATTCAGAATTAATGGAGTATATCATGCCACATTTAATCAGAAAATTGATTGAAAAAAAAAATAAAAATAATAATTAGTTAAATATTACATTAATAAATGAAGCTAAATTATTTAGATATGTTGCCTTGGCAACTAACTGAATTACTAACTGGAACTACATAAAAACAAACTGAACTAAAACTAAAAATTCAATAAAAATAAAGTAAACATAAAGAGTGATATGGAAAGAGTGATAAGCAAAAGTAACATAACAATATGACAAAAATTTAATTGAAATTAAAATATAAACATAAAAGCTCATTCAAAATATTACAAAAAGAGTGCATAGATGTTGGTAACGCATAACCACAAATTTATCCATATACAATCAAACATACCATTTTCTTCTGGCTGATCATAAAACAGGCTGAACACTCCAGAGGGCTTTTCACATTGCACTTAAATGGTTAGTTCACCCAAAAATGAAAATTAGGCTGCGTTTTACTCACCCCCGAGGCATCCTAGGTGTATATGACTTTCTTCTTTCAGACGAATCCAGTCGGAGTTATATAAAAAATTGTCTTTGATATTTCAAGCTGTTTAATGCCACTCAGAGGGTGTTGCATTGCATCAGTCCAAAAGAACTTAAATAAAAACCGCCCATCCATAAAAAAAAGTGCCTCACACGGCTACGGGGGGTGAACAAAGGCCTTCTGTAGCGAATCGATGCGTTTTTGTAAGAAAAATATCCATATTCAAAACGTAATAATCACTTGAATCTAGCTTGCGCTTACTGTTGTAAACAGAAGCAGTTCCGGGGGAATGACGTATGAGGTCGGCTTTGTGCATGAGGAGCTGGATGAGTCAGAGAGCACCAGAGGGGACATTGCGATGTCTTCTGAGTCGCAAACAAGTCCACCTGAGCCTGGCCAAAAAT